AGGCGCATTGCGTGCATTCCCTCTCGATATCACGTCAAATTTGGTGCCTGTAGTCGACTGTGGAGCACCGCAGACCCCAGGTGTGGTTGATTGAGTTGTTGCGACTCAACAGTCGTGTTGGTCTCGTCCATGCATAACTCAGTCTCACTTCTCATGGAGGCTCCTCGAGGCAAGTCCATCCGAGACGCCAGCGTCCCACAGACCTTTGAGAACTTCTGCGATACCGGCTTCGCCTTTGCCAGCATTGGAAGCGAATCTATCTTTGCTCCAATCTTCCACCTTTCTAGCCATGGCGCTCAAAGGAAGTCCGCCCGCCAATATCCTGGCTCGTTGATGAAAGGTTGTGCTGCGATTTTGCGCAGAGGTCGGTGTGTAGGTGATGTACTCCTTCACCAGCAAGTAGCGGGACAGCGACATGCTATAGCGAACCACCCATGCGAGACGATACCGTCAGTGCGCGCCAAGAGATTGCGAGGAAAGGAGCGGCGAAACTCACTTGGTGGATGTCATCTCGACTATCTGTCCTGCAGTGTCCACCATGACCACCTCTCTCACATACGTCTCTTCATCACCTCCAAGCAGCTGGTTCGCGCATGAACAAGCATGATCAGAGAACTGCAATCCTTCATCAAAGCAGGCATTGCCTGACACCACGTGGGTCCAGGATGCTCACCTTCACAGCCCAAGCTGGTGCGCCCTGTCTCACACCCAATATTCTCTCCAGCCTGACCAGCAGCCCTGCGTTCCCGTTCGGCCGCTGATCAAGTTGCAATTGTTGATCTATGACGTCCAGACTGACTACGTGCGTGGCATGCGTGTTGGGATACTTGTGAAGTACACCTAGAGCCGTTCGGGCCCAACTGTGTGGGAGATCGTAATGACCCTCGTACGCTTGCGGCATCTCTACCTTGTGAGGTGTGACGAGAATGCGTTGGATGCGTGCTTTGACGTCTGGTCAGAGGGAAGAAGGCAAGACGTACAGGCAGGGTGCGCGAGGATGAGGCCGCGAAAGGATGAAGTTGCGATGCTGATTCCGACTGTATGCGCCTTACATCTTACGATCCATGCTATCTTGCAAAACGCCACGTAGCCTCGAGCACTCGCGACGAGGGTGAGAAATCGAAAGATACAGTCAAGAGTACGTGATTCGTGTGTACAGTCGTGAGTCACGAGTCACAAGTGAACTGGTCGGCAGGTGAGCGAACAAGTAGCGTCACATCCGGCCAGACGCTGCATGCAATCGTGCCCCGATGAGGTACCGGTCAGGGCACGTCTCTCACCCCGCAGCTCT